GATTGGTCGTGGTGGTAGGTATATGAATTATACAATATAGAAATTTTGTGACAAAGTTCATATGAAGCTCTACAAGCAATTAATTGTATGAATAGCAAATTAAGTTGTTGAAATCAAATGTGATCGACTGGTAGGACCAAAATCCGATCACTTGGTCGGTTACGTTTGCTAGATTGACTCGGTCGAGAGTTGGTTATTAATTGATCAGTTGAACCAATAAAAATCAGTTAGAATTAGTTAATAGTGGACCGTGATTTATTTATTTTAGAGTTTTTAAATTACATTTATATATACTTTTAACATATATGTATCAATTAGATTTTAGTTTATATTTGCATGTATTATTGTCACGGATAGTGAGTCTCAAGAACTTTCATATAGAAAATTCATGATTAGGGCTAGGGGGTATAAATGGCTAGAGCTACAGCCGAGCTGTTAACAAAATGAGTTGATAAGCGTGTTCGAGCTTGACCCAGTTTGTCGAGACGGACTCAAGTCTAAGCAAACCAAATTATAAAAGAAATATATATAAGCATTTATATTTTTAGTCTTAACAAGCTGAGCCAAGCTTGAAGCTCGTTTATCAAACGAGTCGAGTCGAGTTCAGAAGTAGCTCCTTTCAGTTAACAAGTGTGATTGGTTTCACGTGATGGTATAGTGATGTTGCAGATGTTTTGTAATAATTTTTATAAACTTGAGAAGCAATTGTCGGATGTAATTCAGAAGGTGTAAAGAAGAGAGGGTATATGAATCCATTAATTTCCAGGAAATGTACCAAAAGATACACAGTATTTTTTTTTTCTTTTTTCTTTTTTAAATGGTAGTGTATTGACTATTGATCAATCTTATAATAATTATATCACAATTTTTGACTTCTTTAATCACAATTTTTTTTTAAATGGCAGTGAATTGACTATTGATCAATCTTATAATAATTATATCATAATATTTGACTTCTTTAATCACTACTGGTTGCTACTTGCTACTTATTGTTTTGTCAAAAAAAAATTATCCACAAATTAAATGTCTAAAAATAACGATTTCATCTATTGCCCCTATATTTGATAGACACTATTTATATATGAAAACTATTGCATTGCTTTTCACGTGAACTGCAAATTCTCGGAAGAAAATTTTCCAGTATGTGGAATGAGATCTCAACACTTCAAACGAATCGATTATTACTGTATTTTAAAATACATTAAGCAGGAAAAGAGGATTAAGGGTTGAATAAATATGCATTAATACTTAAAATATAAAAAGACTGTTGGGGTAGAACACCAATCGCAGCGGACAAAAATACCCCTCCAACAAATATGACAAGCACTACTGTAAACGAAAATAAGCCAACACAAATTAATAAGAGACGAGAAATAAAGAGAACACAAAAATTGATAACAGAATTCGGCGAAAATAGCCTACGTCTCCGGGCACCGCCAACCACAACGCCAAATTTACTAAACTCACCAACAAAATACAAATAGGGTTAAACAACCCACAAATTAGAATTTCCTTAATTAAGGATTTCCTACCAAGAAAGGAGAAAATAGAATAAGGTGCAATTGTAACCCAAGGGCAAGGGACCTATTTATACTAATAAGATCCTACACATCTTTGATACATATCCTATGTGGGACAAACAATTAATCAAAAACTAACAATTCTCCATGTATTCTCGTTCTTCATCACAATTTGGTGATAATTGGACACTTAACTTAATATGAGGGGCAGGTGGTGTACTTACAGGCTTCGTCTCATCTTTTATGCCGAAACGCTGTAGTACGCTTCTGAGTCAAACAAAGTTTGCCTCTCCTTTTGTCCTTACTTATCTCCATCCCGAGAATTTTCTTAGCTTCCCCCAAGTCTTTCATCTCAAACTCTTGGTTCAACTGAGCCTTCAAATGATCAATCTTCACTTGGCTCTTTGATGCAACCAACATATCATCCACATACAAGAGTAAGTTGTTGATGCTCGAAAATTGATCGACATGGGGGTTCAGAGGAAATTTATTGTATATTTTTTGTATTGAATTTTTGGTGAATTTTGTATGAATTTTCCTGTGTTTTTTGATAAGAAAAGATAATCCAAGAAGAAGAAGATTCACGGGCATCGCCTGTTTTCTTTAGATCCAGAGAAAGAAAATAATAATAACGCCCCTCAGACTTATCTATCCAGGTCCATCATTGGGGTATTTATATATATGTTTAATGGGCCCGATATTATCACAAGCAATATTATTTAAACAATATTATTTAAGGCCCAAAAATATCCCAATAATAAAATAATTGATATAATACATATCCACGTGTAATAATAGGCTGGGCCAAAATTAGGTATTAACAGGAGGCCCCCGATTTTAGGGCATGTTTTGAATAGAACTGTTCTGAAATCGCATGTATAATCAATTTTGGCCGTAATCAACGTTGGCCGGGTACTTTGGGACCCGTGGAGCCAATGATGTGGATAGTTAATTTTTCTGGAATTTTGCGTGGAGCCTGGATGGCCCAGTCGGGCAATTTGGTACCCGTCTTTCGCGTTTTTTGCGTGGGACACGAAACGTTTGATGTGGTAATGATGATATGGGATTATGTGGGTACTCGGGCCCCCGGAATTGTTACTGGACTCGCGATTTTGTCGTATTGAGACGACGCGATTTTTTTATTTGATTTGAGATTGTTTTGCTTGACCTGGTCGGATAATTTTGTATCCGGTCCTCGGTCTTTTATTTTTTTATTTAATTATTTATCAGTCGGGCAGCATGATCCCGATCTCAGATATAATATGTAAGGTGTTAACCTTGCCAAACCATCTTGAGGGTTCGGTTAAGAACTTTTCTTATTATTATTTTTATCTAGATTCGGCTTTTTCACTGTGCCGACATTGGTTACCCGAATGATTTTTCGAGATTCGGTCTTTTTTATTGTACCAATGTGGGTTAGCCGAATTATTTTTATTTTATCGAGCTGAAGAACTCGGTGTAAATTTTCCTTTTATATTTTTCCCAGCCGGAAAGGTCTTATTGACTTTGCCTAACCAGTGTGGGTCTTTAAGGAATTTAATGATCCCTGCCAGTAAGGTTTTATATTGCACCTCACTAGCGTGGATCCTTAAGGTTTTTTTTTTTTTTGGCTTGACTTTTTATGTTCATGTCAAGATGCATGAATGACGTGCGTATGAATGTATGTATGAATGTGTGAATATATGATGATTTTATGCAATAAATGATTAACGCACGAAAAATAATGTTACCTCGATATTTTGTCGAGTCTGACTTTATCTGTCAGTAGGTGTTGTGCCTTTCCGACCAGAATATTCAGCATATCATTTTACTCGCTGAATTTTTAAAGGAATGTCGGTAGGTTCTGTGCCTTTCCGACTGGCATTAGCCTCGCCAAATCATCTTCAGGACTTGGATGTATTGGGCTTTTGCCATGCCGACTTTATTTATCGACAGATTCGGCATTTTTACTGTACCGACGTCGGCTAGCCGAAATATTTTTCGAAATTCGGCTTTTTGACTGTGCCGTCGTTGGTTAGCCGAATTATATTTTAAGAATCTGCTTTTTTACTGTACCGACGTCGGCTAGCCGAATTATTTTTCGAGAGTCGGCTTTTTATAAAGTGCCGTCGTTGGTTAGCAGACTTATTTTTATTTTATTTTACCGAGCTGAAGAACTCGGTATAAAATTTTTATGTTTCCCAGCCGGAAAGGTCTTATTGACTTTGCCTAACCAGTGTGGGCTCAGCCGAAGCAGAAGCTCAACGGCGAGGTAAATATAAATATCAGCTCTACCAGAGTCAGGGCTCAATGGCGAGAAAATATAAAGCCTTCTCAGTCGGAGCAAGAGCTCAACGACGAGGCAATATACGCGTCAACTCAACCGGAGTCGAGGCTCAACGGTGAGAAAATATAAATATAAATTACAGCTCTGCCGGAGTCGAAGTTCGATGGCGAGCAAAAATAAGACGCGAGCTCAGCCGGAGTCGCGGCTCGCGGCGAGCAATAGGAAGACGTGAGCTCAGCTGGAGTCGTGGCTCACGGCGAGCAAGAATAAAACGTCGGCTCAGCCGGAGTCGTAGCGCACGGTGAGCAATATTGAGACGTCACAAATAGACGAGTGCCCTCACCTTCATGCTTATCAAATACCTTGAATTTTGACCGAAACCGACTTCTCAAAAAAAAAAAAACTCACTCTCTTTTGGCCACAATTAAGTGATGTCACCACGTTTCAACCTTTTTCGCCCAAATCTCTTTCTCGACCAAATATCAAGCAGAACACAATTCATCTCTCCACCATAAGCAGATCAATCCCCCCGCAGCTTTTTCCTCAATCCCTCACGCTCAATCCCTCTTCTTTTCTCTCGCTAAAAATCTGGCTCTCGCTCGCTTTCTCTCTTCTCTCTCAGTCGACGAGTAGCCATGTGCGACCGGGATGAGCGATTTACATGGCAGCGAGATTTAGTCTGTAATCGGATCTCGGTGGAATTAATCGGAAATCGGCCATAGTGTGACGAATCGAGCTCGGGCTAAATGGTATGAGGAGACCCGAGTTCGGCCCGACTCATGAAAGGTTCAGTTACGATTATTGAAATCGGAGATGAATATTTCGATTTGGTGGTCGATGAAAGTGAAGTTGGTGCGGGCTCGCGAAGTCGGTCGGCCGATCCCGAGCTGGGGTCGATTTTCAGAAGTCGGGCTCGGTAGTGCTGAAGTCGGTTCAAGCTAGCGATGAAACCGAGATGTTGATGTCGGTTTGGGGTGAGTGACATCGGTCCGACTACGATTCCCGACATCCAAGGTGAGTGGGTAACAAAATTCGAGCTCATCATTCATGTTGGGATTTCGGCCTGTTATGAAGTTGATGGCTGATTAATCGGAGTTCGGTTGGTTTGATGGAGTGTCGATCTTAGCCCGATATTGAAGTTGGTTGTTGCCGACAACTTGAAGTTTGTCGAGGTCGGTCCTACTTTGAGACCAGTTTGCGCAACTCGGTAATCGATGAGGGTGATGTCGGATATACAGAAGTCGGTTGAAGGAGGTCTAATCGGTCCGACTGAGATTCCCGACATCCGAGGTATGTCGGCCGGTAACCGAGGTCGCGCTTGTTAGGCTGGGATGAGTCCGTTCTTTCTTAAAGTAAAATCGGTTCTTCATTGAAGAGGTCGGGTCTCGACAAATTTGAGCTTGTGGTACCAACAGCGAAGTCGGACTTCGGCAAATACAAATTGCAACCTGTCTGAAGTCGTGGTTGTTACAGGTGAAAGGCCCTAAGATTTCGACTTAATTAATTTGGATGCCGATAATTCAATTCCGGTTAAAGTCTTTGTTTGGAGATGAAGTCGGACATGGTAGCTGCTCAGGACCTCGTCAATCGAAGTCGGCGCGGGCTACGGTGACGTGGCTCAAGGACGGTAAAATTCGAAGTCAACCTCCATCAATACTCGAGACGCTCGGTATAGATAAAGATGGAGTGGGCCCCAAGAGGTTAAGTGGCATTGTCACCGATACATGTGTCTTTTTGTAATAACTTCAATGTGCATTTTTGTTGACTATTCCTTATTGATAAGGCCACCGGCCATGTGCAAGCGATAATTACAATTTTTCTGCTGCGTCTTCCTTTTTCTGCTGCTTCTTCTTCATTTTTCTGCTGCTTCTTCATTTTTCTACTGCAACCGGCCGTTTACGTTGAGATTGGCGGTGAGCGTTGCTACAGGAACCGGTCGTCGCTGTGGATCCTCGCAACTTCGTCGGTCGATTCCATCACAATCAACGCATCTATTTTGATCTTACTTTATCATCGAGATTTGGTTTTGCGTGTTTCTCCAGTCTTCGTTTTTTTTTTTTTTTTATAACCAGAAAGGATACAGAACGAATTCGATTTCCATTTCTGAGGTGATTTTGTGAGAAAGAAGAAAAGGAATTGGTTGGCAGAGACTATATCCAATTTGTAGCAATACGGGATGGCGTATGTGTTGTTAAGCCGGAAAATTGCCTCGAATAATCTACGAGGCCCTCCTTCTAGCGCCAAACTGTTGATGCTCGAAAATTGATCGACATGGGGGTTCAGAGGAAATTTATTGTATATTTTTTGTATTGAATTTTTGGTGAATTTTGTATGAATTTTCCTGTGTTTTTTGATAAGAAAAGATAATCCAAGAAGAAGAAGATTCACGGGCACCGCCTGTTTTCTTTAGATCCAGAGAAAGAAAATAATAATAACGCCCCTCAGACTTATCTATCCAGGTCCATCATTGGGGTATTTATATATATGTTTAATGGGCCCGATATTATCACAAGCAATATTATTTAAACAATATTATTTAAGGCCCAAAAATATCCCAATAATAAAATAATTGATATAATACATATCCACGTGTAATAATAGACTGGGCCAAAATTAGGTATTAACATAAGTAAATGAAAGATCCATCTTGCAGCTTGTGTAAATACACACAATGATTATGTTTGCTTCGTGTGTACTTTTGGCCAATCATAAACTTATCAAACCGTTTGTACCACTGTCTCGGAAATTGCTTCAATCCGTACATCGATTTGTTCAACTTACAGACCCAATTCTCTTTTCCAAGAATTTTGAATCCTTCTGGCTGAGTCATGTAGATTTCCTCATCTAAATCTCCGTGTAAGAACGTCGTCTTCAAGTCAAGAGTGCTTAACAACTGGAGAAAACACTTCATTATAATCAACTCCTTCCTTCTGAGCGTAGCCTTTAGCCACCAATCTTGCCTTGTAGCGCACATCATTCTTGTGAGGAAATCCATCTTTCTTTGCAAATACCCACGTGCATCCTATCGCCCTCTTGCCTTTTGGTAGTTGCGTCACCTTCCAAGTCTGATTCTTCTAGAGAGACAACATTTCTTCCTCCATAGCCCTTTTCCACTTCTTATTCCGAATTGCATCTTGAAAAGTGAAAGGTATGTCATCATCAACAATTGGAAGTGCATAAGCCACCATATCCGCCGATCGAGCAGGTTGTTGAATCTCTCGTCTGGGCTTTCTCAATGCAATTGGAAGTGCATAAGCACACTCGTCTTTTTCAAGCTTGGCCTTGGAACGTGATCTTCCTCGTCCATTCTTCTTTTGGCTCTTCGACCGACCTCTTGCAATCAACGCTTCGTCTTCTGCTGCTGCATTCTTCGTCTCTTGTTTGTTTTTCTTCCTCAACTCGTAGCTATACAGAGCAAAACTGACCACTGCAAGAGTTACATCGTCCTTCCCATGGAGCAGTGTAGTCTCCAAGTGCTCGAAGTCATCCGGAAGTGATGAAAACAACATTAGAGCCAAATCTTCATCGCTGAATGTGACGTCCAACTTCAACAAATCTGCAACCAACTGACTGAATGCAGTGACGTGGTCATTCATCGATGTGCCATGCCGATACTCAAATCGGAACAATCGCTTCTTCATGAGGAGCTTATTCTGGCCGCTTTTCTTCAGAAATTTATCCTCCAAAGCCTTCCACAGAGTGTGAGCAGAATTCTCATTCTTGAACGCGTACTTCTGCTCCCTCGACAAACACGAACGAATTGTTCCACATGCTAAGCGGTTGATATTCTTCTAATCCTTCTCTTCAACGTCGGTTGGCTTCTCTTCTTCAATTGCAATGTCGACGCCTTGCCGAAATAGACAATCCAGCACCTCGCCTTGCCACATGCCGAAATGCCCGGTCCCAACGAAGATCTCCACCGGGAGCCTGACGTTCGGCATCACTGTCCTTGCCGGAATGAATGCAGAGGATGATGCGCCCTTGACCTCATTGGACATTTTGAACCCGAATGCAGTGCTTGCCTCTTCGAATAAGCCTAGGACGAACCTTCGGCTCTAATACCACTTGTTGGGGTAGAACACCAAACGCAGCGGACAAAAATACTCCTCCAACAAATATGACAAGCACTACTCTAAACGAAAATAAGCCAACACAAATAAATAAAAGACGAGAAATAAAAAGAACACAAAAATTGATAACAGAGTTCGGTGAAAATAGCCTACGTCTCCGGGCTCCGCCAACCGCAACGTCAAATTTACTAAACTCACCAACAAAATACAACTAGGGTTAAATAACCCACAAATTAGGATTTCCTACCAAGAAAGGAGAGAATAGAATAAAGTACAATTGTAATTCAAAGACAAATGACCTATTTATACTAATAAGATCTTACACATCTTTGGTACATATCTTATGTGGAACAAACAATTTATCAAAAACTAACAAAGACAACATAATATTGGAAAACAGAATAACATAATGACCTATACCATATTAAAAGAAAATTGCAAAAACATAATAAGGTCTAAAGAAATAAAAATGATAACATTCACCACATTGTAATACTATAATGAATCAAAATTAAAATATTAATTGTAAAAGTTATATTATTTGTACATTTTGATAATTTCTTTAAAATTATTTTATTCAGAAATAACTTATTTTTAGTGTGGTATATACATATTTCTTCTATGTTTATAACCACGTGATTTATCAGAGTTAAGTATGAAAAAAACACAGCAATTAAATATAACTTTTAAGTGAATTTTATTTTAGATATTTTTGATTTGTTGCTTACTTTGACACTCATGCGGCATGCCAGACCGTTAATATCTGATGAGATATATGAAAATACCAATACAGTAAATAAAATAAATTAGAAAACAAAAACATGCGTTTTACCAAATATTTATTTTAAATCCTGGAATGCTTATCGCTTGTTTTCTCATGTCTGAGAGTATGGCAAATTTGTTCATCATTTTAATTGAATGACCATCCATGTCATTACATACTAGAATGAGTTCATTATTTTATTTAGTCGAACTAGTTTGTTGACTTATGTATTATCGAATGTTTAGATTATTTTTCGAACATTGTATGTCATAACCTCCTTTACAAGATATTATACGAACATTCATCGGTTTTATGCGAGTTTTATTTTAAGCCCACAACAGGTTTAACTATAATAACTATAAATATTAAGTTCAATTTATAAATAAAATATCCTTATCATTCCTATTTATTAATAAAATAGATTAATTTGTAATATTTGAGAAATTAATAATTAACTATCTAGTCTATTAACTTATTGGATGTGAGAATTACGTTTCAATAATAATCATAATTGATGATTGGATTAGGAAACTATGAGGAAAAGAACAGCGCAAATACTTAGGTGTGCCCTGGCACACCTAGCAAGGTGTACCAGGGCATGTGTGAAATGCAATCTCTCTTAAAATCGCGTGAGGTAAGGTAATAAGGTATGCAAGTTTTTTTTTTTTTTTTAAAAAGACAAGTGTCCAATATATATTGGATAATAAATTTTACATATCATATTATATAAATTAAATTATTATTCACATTTTATATTAAAAAATAAAAATAAAAATACCAAAATTCATAATTTTTCAATCTCTACAAATAGAGACCACATTTGATAAGTTTTGGAACACAATTAATTTATCATTTTTTATAATTAAATTATCTTTTTGGAAGGCGATGACACAAATATATAATAAGATGAACATGTTACATACTAAGATGCGCATGTTATATATATAGTAAAATGAACATGTTATAGAACAAGATGAAAATGTTATAATTTTACAGATGGAATTTAGATGAACATTTTATACAATAAGATGAACATGTTACATAATTAGATGAACATGTTATAGAATAAGATGAACATGTTACATATTTACACAATAAGATGAACATATGAACATGTTATAAAATAAGATGAACATATGAACATGTTATATAGTAAGATGAACATATGAACATTGAAACACAATTAATTTATCATTTTTTACAATTAATTTATCTTATTGGAAGATTATGACGCAAATATATAATTAGATAAATATGTTACATAGTAAGATTAACATGTTATAGAGTAAGATGAACATGTCATAGAATAAGATGAAAATGTTACATTTTTCAGAGATGAAATTTAGATGAACATGTTACATAATAAAATAAACATGTAATAGAATAAGATGAACATGTTTAGATTCCATATCTACATCACGGGCTCTCACATTATTTTCTCCAATTTTCACTTCATATATAAAATTCTGGTCAATTTCTTGCTCGACTTTCACTCGTTTAATGCAAGCATCTCCGCCCTGAAATAGTAAACCATAATCTACAGATAAGAACTCAAATTTATGCAATAGTCATACTATAGGGAATGAAAGTGAAAAACTAGTAGAATGTAAAAGAAATTCCATAAATTAGTCTTTCGATCAAATATCCTCCACCTTCACAAACCAAAATCCTCTCTAATAAGATGAAAATGTTACAATTTTCACATATGAAATTTAGATGAACATGTTATAAAATAAGATGAACATGTTACATAATAAAATGAACATGTTATAGAATAAGATGAACATGTTACATAATAAAATAAACATGTTATAGAATAAGATGGACATGTTTAGATTCCATATCTACATCACGGGATCTCACATTATTTTCTCCAATTTCCACTTCATATATAAAATTCTGGTCAATTTCTTGCTCGACTTTCACTCGTTTAATGCAAGCATCTCCGCCCTGAAATAATAAACCATAATCTACAGATAAGAACTCAAATTTATGCAATAGTCATACTATAGGGAATGAAAGTGAAAAACTAGTAGAATGTAAAAGAAATTCCATAAATTAGTCTTTCGATCGAATATCCTCCACCTTCACAAACCAAAATCCTCTCTAATAAGATGAAAATGTTACATTTTTCAGAGATGAAATTTAGATGAACATGTTACATAATAAAATGAACATGTAATAGAATAAGATGAACATGTTACATAATAAAATGAACATGTTATAGAATAAGATGAACATGTTACATAATAAGATGGACATGTTTAGATTCCATATCTACATCACGGGCTCTCACATTATTTTCTCCAATTTCCACTTCATATATAAAATTCTGGTCAATTTCTTGCTCGACTTTCACTCGTTTAATGCAAGCATCTCCGCCCTGAAATAATAAACCATAATCTACAGATAAGAACTCAAATTTATGCAATAGTCATACTATAGGGAATGAAAGTGAAAAAGTAGTAAAATGTAAAAGAAATTCCATAAATTAGTCTTTCGATCGAATATCCTCCAACTTCACAAACCAAAATCCTCTCTAATAAGATGAAAATGTTACATTTTTCACATATGAAATTTAGATGAACATGTTATAAAATAAGATGAACATGTTACATAATAAAATGAACATGTTATACGATAAGATGAACATATTACATAATAAAATGAACATGTTATAAAATAAAATAAACATGTTATAGAATAAGATGGACATGTTTAGATTCCATATCTACATCACGGGCTCTCACATTATTTTCTCCAATTTCCACATCATATATAAAATTCTGGTCAATTTCTTGCTCGACTTTCACTCGTTTAATGCAAGCATCTCCGCCCTGAAATAATAAACCATAATCTACAGATAAGAACTCAAATTTATGCAATAGTCATACTATAAGGAATGAAAGTGAAAAACTAGTAGAATGTAAAAGAAATTACATAAATTAGTCTTTCGATCGAATATCCTCCACCTTCAAAAACCAAAATCCTCTCTAATAAGATGAAAATGTTACATTTTTCACATATGAAATTTAGATGAACATGTTATAAAATAAGATGAACATGGTACATAATAAAATGAACATGTTATACGATAAGATGAACATGTTACATAATAAAATGAACATGTTATAGAATAAGATGAACATGTTACATAATAAAATAAACATGTTATAGAATAAGATGGACATGTTTAGATTCCATATCTACATCACGGGCTCTCACATTATTTTCTCCAATTTCCACTTCATATATAAAATTCTGGTCAATTTCTTGCTCGACTTTCACTCGTTTAATGCAAGCATCTCCGCCCTGAAATAATAAACCATAATCTACAGATAAGAACTCAAATTTATGCAATAGTCATACTATAGGGAATGAAAGTGAAAAACTAGTAGAATGTAAAAGAAATTCCATAAATTAGTCTTTCGATCGAATATCCTCCACCTTCACAAACCAAAATCCTCTCTAATAAGATGAAAATGTTACATTTTTCACATTTGAAATTTAGATGAACATGTTATAAAATAAGATGAACATGTTACTAATAAAATGAACATGTTATAGGATAGGATGAACATGTTACATAATAAAATGAACATGTTATAGAATAAGATGAACATGTTACATAACAAAATAAACATGTTATAGAATAAGATGGACATGTTTAGATTCCATATCTACATCACGGGATCTCACATTATTTTCTCCAATTTCCACTTCATATATAAAATTCTGGTCAATTTCTTGCTCGACTTTCACTCGTTTAATGCAAGCATCTCCGCCCTGAAATAATAAACCATAATCTACAGATAAGAACTCAAATTTATGCAATAGTCATACTATAGGGAATGAAAATGAAAAACTAGTAGAATGTAAAAGAAATTCCATAAATTAGTCTTTCGATCGAATATCCTCCACCTTCACAAACCAAAATCCTTTCTAATAAGATGAAAATGTTACATTTTTCACATATGAAATTTAGATGAACATGTTATAAAATAAGATGAACATGGTACATAATAAAATGAACATGTTATACGATAAGATGAACATGTTACATAATAAAATGAACATGTTATAGAATAAGATGAACATGTTACATAATAAAATAAACATGTTATAGAATAAGATGAACATGTTTAGATTCCATATCTACATCACGGACTCTCACATTATTTTCTCCAATTTCCACTTCATACACAAAATTCTGGTCAATTTCTTGCTCGATTTTCACTCGTTTAATGCAAGCACCCCCGCCCTGAAATAATAAACCATAATCTACAGATAAGAACTCAAATTTATGCAATAGTCATACTATAGGGAATGAAATTGAAAAACTAGTAGAATGTAAAAGAAATTTCATAAATTAGTCTTTCGATCGAATATCATCCACCTTCACAAACTAAAATCCTCTCTAATAAGATGAAAATGTTACATTTTCACAGATGAAAATCAGATGAACATGTTATAGAATATAATGAACATGTTATATAATAAAATGAACATGTTATAGAATAAGATAAACATGTTACATAATAAAATGAACATGTTATAGAATAAAATAAACATGTTACATACACAATAAGGTGAACATGTTACCAAAAAACGAAAATTAGTTGTGTTCAAAAACCTATCAAATGTGGTCTCTATTTATAGATAATGAAAAATTATGAATTTTGGTATTTTTATTTTGTTTTTTTAATATAAATAATTAATGATATTTTAATTTATGTAATATGTCTCATTTTTTCATTAAAAAAGAAAAATTGGGAGAGTGCACTACACCTCCTAAATTTTCTAGCTTTTTGAGAATGAGGGGCGCGTGTAATACTGTCCTGGCACACCTAACTAGGTGTGCCCAGTGTTCGGTTTTCTCATTTTCTCGTGAATAACGAGAAAGTGAGCGTGTAAGATAAGAGTGCGACTGCGACTCGACCCACCTTTTAAAAAACTTGTCCAAAATTTCTTGGCAGTTTCTTAGATGTCACAGTCATTCATTTTAATAATCGACTGATATTTTGCAGAATAAAGACATAATTATTTCATATAGAGAATAAAAAAATTGACATGTGATGATTCTAAAGGCGATATAAATTTCTGACATGGATCATTATGTCAAATTTTATATCATCTCTTTTATACAACTGCTAAGCATGATTCATCCATTTTGCATCATCGATTTAATGAGTGGAAATTGAGTCCATAGTTCATTTATTTGGAAAAATTCCACAGAATTTTGCATCACTTGATTTGATGAGTGGAAATTGAGTACATAGTTAATTTATCTGGAAAAATATCAGTATGGTGGAAAAATTTTATCTTAAAAAAAATTAATATTCACCATTTCAGATTCTTTTCATAACGTAGCAATAGACTCGAGCAAGGCACAAACCAATTTGTGTGCACGCCGATAGTCGGCCTGCCCACTTCACGGCTAAACATGGCTAGGTCAATTTTAGTTATTCACAGCCGGACAATGTTCATTTGTCGAACGATTCGTGCTCAAGTCCTTGACGTCTACAATTTTTATGCCCTTGATCCAATTCGCTTATTGAGTTCGGTTACACGTTATTTGCATCATCATTGAGTAATTACAAGTGTATTATATCACTTGTGAATTGTCCCACATTGATTCTATAGAAAAAAATGAGTTTAGTATATAAGTCTAATGAACTACACCTCTCATCACCAATTGATTTTTGGATGAAACCTCACTATGGTGCACTTAAACTCACCTTCTTATGGATAGCCCAACGATTAGACAGATGGACCCATTATAGTCATATTATGTGAAAAAAAAAAAATGTACTCCACTATTAATCAATTTTCACTACCCTTATTACAACAATCAATTACTATAATCATAATCAAATAATTATCAATTCTTGTGTCTTATTAATATTTTTCATATGGACACACTATTGGGTACTCCCCTACACGTGACCCCCGGCTCGGAACTCGGCGCAAGAAGCTCGTACGGCAACACCCCGGCTCCACACCGGTTCCTGAGCCGCGGGTCCGCATTCCTCCTCTCGATCTCCTTCTCGACCCGCCCGATCTCTGCCGAGAACTCATAAAACGCCTCGACCGCCTCAGAATCTCCCGACCAAATCGACCCGTGCTGCCGCTCCCCGATATACTCCTCGTCGGGCGAGTGGGTCGACAGCGTGTCGACCACCGCCATGAATTTGGTCGCCTGCAAGAGGCTCGGGAGCGAGCTAAAGAAGTACTTTTGCGGGTCACGCACGAACCCCTCGTGCTCCGGGTCGGATTCTCCGGGCAGGAGCCGACGCACGAGGGGCGGGCGGTTTGGCACGTAGCCTCCGTAAGGGTACTGCCCGAAGTTGAGGGCCGCGTGCTGGGCGGACGCGAGCCAGACGAGGGTCGTGAGGACGGACGCTAGGTCGTCAGGGGAGTCGAGCGCGGGCCACCAGTCCGCGTGGCGGAGGTCCGCGTGGCCCACGTTGACGGACTCTGCGTACCAAGCTTGGAGCTCGCGGTCATTGCAGACGTCGGCCGGGTCTCGGTAGTAGCGGCGCACGTAGCCGTGGACCCAGTCTTGGATGGCGGACCATATCATGAGCCCGTCGGACGCGTACGGGTAGTCCTCGATCATGAGACGGAGACCGTGTGGTTGCGTGGGGTCCGGCACCGCCATTCCTCTGAAAATACGAGGATTTTTTTTTAGCGATGGTGTGCGATGAGTTATATTATAGTTATATTATAAGAAAATGATGAAATTCCTAAGGAAATATATTTCAGCAGATATTACAATGCTATTATTTTCATTGACATTTTCCAATTGGATTCCAACGGAAATTCCAACAAAAAAAATATTATGTTGGAATGAGTTTTCTATTGGAATTTCTGTTAGATTTTGACGATTTCAACGATAGATTTTCCAACGGTGGTGGAAATAAAAATTCTAACAGAAGTTATATATTCCAACGGAAATTTCTATGGTCAACCGTCCTTGGAAATATAGCCGTTGGAATCATCAAATTCCATTTAAAATTCCAATGAAACATACATTCCAACGGAATATTTTCGTTGGAATTTCCGTTGGAATCATTCCAATGGAAGCTATACCATTGGAATATCCGTTGGACTTTCCATTGAAATATATTACCATAGGATTTTCCGTTGGAATATAACAATTTTTTTGTAGTGGTCGAGTCCGGCTCGATTGGACTTGTTAAAGCTGCAAAAAGTAATTTTTATGAATTTTTATAGTTCAGCTCATTAAAGCTCGAATTCGACTCATTAATGNAAGGGAACCGTAAACTATAAAGGCTTTCACAATTTGCGATTTTTTCGCGAAAATATACGAAGTTTAATAAGTGCTTGTACCAATGGTTGACAAGTTGATGAACGCCAGCATCGTTCGAACAAACGTGGGCCTTCGCCAGCTGCCATTTCCAGTATGATGTGGCATCGACTGGCTGAGTCACCACGCGCTTCGATTGGGAATTTAGAGTTGTCGGAGGAAGGCTGAGCTCAATGGCTATGGGTTTAAGTGTTCCTAATTCGGTCAAGAAAAATACCGTACGCGTGGCGTACGATTTACGGCCATCTAGAGAATTTATCCGCTCGATAAACGGAAGGTAAATATCATGATAATCGATGATGTAGAGCTTGTTCGAGTCCAATGCCTGTTTTAAGAAAAAAATCGAGGACCAAATTTCGTATGTGAACGCGCATAATTTAACAATAGTCGAACAAAGTTCATAAACAGTATAATATATTATTACCTCTTGAACAGTCATGCCATTGAGTTGACCAGCAATGTGTTCTTCCTTGAGAGCCGATTCTTTGGGGCCGTAAATTTCGGGGTCAAGCTTACTCACCGGAGGGAAAACCTGAAGCCTCTCGATGTTGACTGGGTTGACTCCTGCTAAGGCTTGCCGGGCAAATTCGTCATCTCTCAACCAAGCATATTTATCCTCTGTTGTAATAATCACATTACGTGTTCAAATTAATTTTTGAAAAGTCATAAGCAGCAAATAGGCTAATGTGCAAGCAGTTCAATAACAGAACAGGTCATTTAAGAACTTTCACTACTACTCACTTGATACAATCTTTGGGATGTTATATTTGAGCAATCCACCTTCTTGAATTTGGTTAACAGTTTTCGGCATTGGGATTTTCTTCAAGATTTCGTCTTGAAAACCGAGCTTAAGAAGAAGTCCCTCGCTGTAGAGGCTATCGATATCTGAAAATCCCTTGAAATCCTTGTTATTAGCAGATATGCTAGCCATTAGTGAAGGTATGAGGTTATGAAGGACAGCCTTCAGTCTCCCGGTCGAGAAGGCATTCATTTTCGACTCCTCAAACTGCTCGTCCCTCGGCACGTACATTGGCAATGGCTTTTCCACTCGGCTTTCAGAGCGTAAATCTGTTATTTCAGTTGTTAAGTTAGATACAAGTATTTTTCTTTTTTCTTTTTTTTTTTCCTTTCTAATTCTTTTATGGATTCATTACAAGAACACCCACAAAGTCTTTTGAGACTTTTTATGGATTCATTTGGGATTTTAAGTGACATTCGGAGACCTTTTTTAAATTTGAGATTTTTTTTAAGATTTTCAGATTTAGGAGGAATTCTATGACATCCAAAGCGTGGAGGTGGAATTTGGAGTGGGATTTCATATATGTTTTTTTTTTTTAAATCCCACCAAATCCTAAAAAGTTTTTGACAAATCCTAATCTCAAATAAGTTAAAAATAACTCGGAATTTTGTAAGACTTTTTAAAATCACAAATGATTAACTTGAAACTTGTAAAAGTCTTAAAAAGTCTAAATTAAATACATAAAGGATTTTTGAAGTCATCAAAAGTCTTTCGAGATCCCAAAAGAAAACACCCTTATACTAACCCCTCTAAGTCAAGTCTGTAAACAAACTTAAAGAAGCAAACTTTTATCAATTTGAAACTTCTTAGGTCCTTTTGATATCACCACAAACCTCAGGGGCCATTTTCGCAATTATCTATTTATTGATTTTATATACTTTCAACTTTTTTTTTCCTATTTTTGCAAAGAAGGCTAGCTCGTATGGCTACTAACCGGTATCAGTAGGAGCCCGGCCCGTTCTGCAGCGCCTAGGATATGGAATTTTTTCGCCACCGAGTATGGGTCGAGCAAAATCGATCCCTTTATCGGGATTTCCAAGATCATTGTACACATCAAAGTCGTATATTCTATCGAACAATTTTCTTTCTCCTTTTCCATCACCTCTAAGTTCTCTAAGCTCCTTCTCCCTAAGAGCCTTTAGCCCTGCTGGTGTCTCATGGGGAAGATATGGCTGTTGAAAAATGAGATATTAAAAAATAAAAAAACATAAGAGAAAGAAAAGACAATTACTTCAATATTTTACAAAGACTAGGTTGGTATTAGAAAAATAGGCACATGGAAAGGTGATTGAGTCTAGCTAATAAACTATGGTTTTATTCTTTCTTTTAACTCATTATCCCTAACTCTTATATCACAAAAGTTATTATAATGTATAGCCCACCACTTATATAAATCCACTTTTTGTTGATAGCATCAAGGAATGTAGAACCAACTGGATAACCTATATACACATATTATATATGATAGAGCAAACATCATAGTTGAAGTTCTAAACTTTATCAAAACAAACAACATTACAAGATGGATAAAAACGAAATTTTTTGAAAAATCAGGAATGGCTGCATGATTTGTCAAAACAGTACTTCAAACTTCAAACCATCACTTTTTGACAGAAAATTCAAACAATGGTCATCCAAAAAGAACAACTTTCAGTACCCATGTAAACCAAACCAAAACAGAAAACAACAATTTAAATAAATTACATCATGGTTAAAAAATAACCAAAAAAAAAAAGAGAAAAAGATCTATTACCTGGTTAGAAAAGAAAATTCTTTTCCCAGGATGATATTTCTTGGGCTGAACCCAAGAATTGCAGGGGAAATGCACAGGCCCACATGCAAATCCTTCAATTGTGATGCTCTCTATGAAGAACTCTTGCTGGTGTTTATTAGCCACAGTGATTGCACCTGGTACACCAAAATTTGAATCCACCACAAATTCTGCTGTGTAATTTACTCTCTCAGTTTTGAGGTTCGATTTTTTGGACCAATCCTTTAGGATTGCTTCATTGCTCTTTTTTGGAGCCTTGGTTTCTACATAGTGACAAAGGATGAACAAAGTTCAAAACCAGAACAATAATTCAAGAAATAACATACAAAAAAAGCACATTGTTTAATTTAGTAACTTTGGCCCAAGGTAGGAAGAAAACATGTCTTGCAAGTTTCAACATCTCTCTCCCTTTTTAACCCATAT